GGTGGGGGGGGTGCGTTTTATTTTCATATGCTGCTTGTCCGGTGTCCTCGAAGGTTAAAAAGCGACATATCACTGTGGTAGAGAAGACGCTCGACGACAAGGGTCAGGAGGTGGAGCGCACTACACACACGGAGGACGGGGTGAAGGGCCGAAGGGCGTAAGGGAATCGAAGGACTGCAGAGTTTAGGGTTTAGGGATTAGGTTTTCGGGATTAGGGTTTAGGGTTTCGGGATTATGGATTCGGGTTTAGGGTTTAGGGCTTAGTGTTAGAGTCGAAAGATTTAGGCTTCGACTGTCAGGAGCATTCAGGGTTTCGTGGGGTCAGAAGCTCATGACAAAGTACAACTGTTGCAGGCTTCAAGGATGAGGGCCTCCCCTAAACCCTAAACCCTAAACCCTGAACCCTAAACCCTAAACCCTAAACCCTAAACCCTAAACCCTACCCTAAACCCTAAACCCTACACCCTAAACCGTAATGATGAGGGTCTAACGGCCCCAATCTGCAGTACACATCTGATGATGAGTAGCTCGCTTGAGCCTCTTGTACAGGTCAAGGGTTAAGACGCGTTATGATGTCCTAAACCCTAAACCCGTAGTGGAATAGATTCGTACAGAATTTGGACGATGTAAACATGTGGCCTCGGTTGATCTCTTCGCGTTGCTGCGGACCTCAATCCAAGGAGGGTCCAAACCATCAAGGGGTGGCTAAACAAAGGGTCCAAACGACTCAATAAGTAGAACATGGTTACTACAGGGACCTGAATCATTGCCTATAGAAGTTTGGGGGTTCCGTATTATAAGTATAGTATATAGTATACCCCAAAGCCCTCTTCTAATTATTAAGGCCCGTCGTGCATCATCTGATACCTGGAGCCTTAGGGCTGTAGGGTGAGGGCTGGCAAAGCCATAAAGGACTCGCCAAGCGGAGGTCTACCAACCTCTGCAGGAAGTGCCATACACCCCTAAAGCCCTTACCCAAACAGGGTTTAGGGTTTTAGGGTCTAGGGTTTAGGGGAATATCTGGGAATGCTTTGCAGTTGTTTGCGCACTGTAGGGTGGAGCTATACCCTTTGTAGAGTAGGTAGCCTTTAATTAGACGTTAGCCTTTCTTTGCGGCTCGGTACGACAATCCCGATATAAACTGAAGGGGTAACATCTGGGTGGTTGTCAAAACTAGGTCCAGGTTTTGGGTTCCCAAGCTACAGGATGCCGTATTAGATATTGAAATGAAATAGGGTTCCTCAAAGGTAAAGGGGCCATGGTTTTGACGACTACCCTTTTAAATAATTCTGCTTGGACAATAAGCGAATAGGTAACGAGGGGTTCCGCATCATCGTGTTTCACTATCCGACGACTTTCAAGGTAATCTTGGAAGTCAACTCAAGATACGGTTTAGGGTTAACCCATAAACCCTAGACCGTTTTGGGTCTAGGGGCTCTATGTACACCCTAAGCCCTGTTTAGGGACTCTACACTCTAAGCCATAAACCCCAATAAAACCCCAAATAGAAAGGGATTCTTCGCGTCGTAGAGCCTTTACCCTAAACCCACGCGGCAGGAAGTGGAAACAGAGGGTGTGACGTACTCCTTCGACATGACCAAGTCTGAGGCCACCTTGTTCAGGACGTAGGGTCTACGTAGAGCTCAAGATTTGGAGGTTTAGGGTCTAGGGACCTAGAGTTTAAGATTTGGAGGATCTAGGGTTATTTTGGGTCCACGGTCCAGAGTTTTGGATATTTTTTTTTTTTTGGTGGTTTTCGGCTTTGATCGGACTGGGTACTTGATGGTCAGGGTCTGGAGTGTGTTTTGAGATGTTTTGGCGTCCCTGATTCGTGCATGCATGAGGACCTTCTTTGAGTGCGAGTTTCGGTTACAGTTTAGGTTTAGGTTTAGGGTTTAGGGTTTAGGTTTAGGGTTTCAGGTCAGGGTTTACAACCTCGTCGATTCGGGCTGCTCGGCATGCTACCAGAAGATTTGGTGCGCTCACAGCAACAAGTTTGTGGTTTGAGTAGAGGCGCAGCTTAAACAGCAAGCGTGACAAGTTCGTGGTGTTTCGAGTAGTGGCAGCGCGTGAACAGCAAGTGGGCGATTGTAGACTTATCCCGAGGAAAGGTGATGCTAACAATAATGAGCAACCGCTTCGAGCATTCTAATTGAAGCACGATAGAAGGTCCACCTATACTGATATGCCAGCAGTCTGCAAGGGAGCACTTCTTTATAACCCTAAGCTCTAAACCCCAAGCCATAAAGCCTACACTTACGCGAGGCGGTTGAGGGCAATTCTTCGGAGCCTTCGTCGTGGGCTGGGTTCAGAATACTATCGGTCTGTTTGAGGGTCCCGTATTTTCTGAACCTAGACCCCAAACCTAAACCCAAAACCCCTATGCCCCAAATCAGCAACCCGGAACCTCTCTCGCATCTGGGGGAGGGTCTTGCCAAGACATCTACATACCAGTAGACGTGCAGACATACACGGACACGTACATGTTTGTGATGTAGCAGGCTGATGCGAGAGCCGTCGTCCAGCACGTTCGACGGCTCTGTTCGAATCCGAGCACAGTCACCTTAGAAATGTTCGTTGCCTGGAGGGTGGAGGAAGCACTCGGTAGCAAATGATCCGTGTCGCGAACGAGATGAATCTATCCGTTGAAGACGACAGTCGAAATGGTGCTTCGGACAGCCTGTTGCAGAAGCTCGGCTGGTGCCAAGCTTCTGCGCTTGTTTGGTTGCACAAGAGTTTCAGACTATACAGGATCGAAATATGAACGCTAAGCACCCAGGAAGTCCAAATCCTCTTAGTAAAGGGACATACACAAATCCCGTCAGGCACCTTGTTGAGGATTCTCCTAAAACTATTTCGATCATATCAGATCGCTCTAAGAGAGCCACTTCTGGCTTCCTAAACCTGACCACCTCCAGAAGAACCCCAGCAACCCAGACTCAAAACCTAAAGCTTCGACACGAAAAACCCTTGCAAAAATAACAGCACGCGCTATACGCTAGCCTTCACAACTATAAGTCCTAAGCTCTAACCCTAAGCCCTAAACCATAACCCTCAACAATAAACCCTAGGCCCTAAACCCCAAAGTCTAAACCATAAACCCCTAAACCCTAAGCCCTAAACCCTGAGCCCTAAACCCTAATCCCGAAACCCGAAACCCGAAACCCGAAACCCGAAACCCTAACCCCGAAACCCTAAGCCCTAAACCCTAAACTAAAAGCCTCAACCCTAAGCCCCCTCGAGGTGGTCAAGGTCATGCAGGGGGAGAAGGACCAAAAGCCGAGACCCGACGAAGGCGCCTTTTTTAGGATCCTTTTTTTATAAGGGTTTTGGGTCTAGGGTTTAGGGTCTAGGGTTTAGGGTTTCGGGTTTAGGGTCTAGGGTTTAGGGTTTAGGGTCTAGGGTTTAGGGTTTAGGGTCTCGAGTTTAGGAACTAGGGTTTAGGCTTTAGGGTCTTGGGGTTCAGGGTTTAGGGTCTAGGGTTTAGAGTTTAGGGTCTAGGGTTTAGGGTTTAGAGCTTAGGGTCCAGGGTTGAGGGTTTAGGGTCTAGGACTCAGGATTCAGGGTCCTTTTTGTAAGGGTGCCCTATTACAACATAGGGGCCTAAGTAATTACCCGCAATATTTTCCCCATTATGATTATAGCATAGTATACGCCCTAAACCCTATTCTGATAATTATTAAGGCACCTACATTATTTTGGACCTACAAAAAGGGAACCTACCTTAGAGAACTACCCATATCATCATGGCCCCTATGGGCTTTGAGCTCGGGGATAGTTTAGCGCACCTTGAGTCTAGGGCATTTTCAGGTGGGTAGTTGCCGGCATAGGAGCCTTATAGAAGGTCTATATACCTTATGGAAGCCTTATAGAAGCCCTATAATACCCTAAACTGCCCACCTGTAGTTTCCTTCAACTAAGCAGATCTTGAAGGACCCTCCTTTGCACCCTCCAATAGGTAGGTCTGTGAATTAGGCTTTTTCAGTCCCCCAAAGAGTACGGCACCCTTACAAGAAAGGACCCGAAAAGGCACCCCAACTTAGGGAACTACCCAAATTGGGGTATATGGTACCAAGTAGTGGGAATTTAGGGTCGAACAGAGGGTAGATGGAGGGTCTCGGTAGGGTTCGGATGTTGGGATTGAGGCAAAGAATGGGGTTCGGGGTTGAGGGTTTAAGTTTTGAGTTAAGGCTTAAGGTTTAAGTCTTCAGAGTTCAAGGCTTTCGGTGCAAGGTTTGGGATTTAGGTTCAAGGCTTAGAGTTGAGGCATATAAGGTCGTAGGACTTTGGCAGGGCTTTAGCTTCAAGCTTTAGGGTTTAGGTATATAAGGTTTTAGGATTTCAGCAGGGCGCTTGGTGCGATTATGGCCTTGTGGGTTGCATAGGGCTGTGCGGTTGTTGGTTTCTGGTTTGATGGTTGTTCTGACGCATGGTTGCAGGCAGCTACAGGATCTGTGGTGTGTTATAGGGTTCTTTGTAGGACTTCACTGGGTGTCTATAGGGCAACATGGGGCTTTGTCGTCAGCAGCACCATCGAAGCCATCAATAGCATCATTCGGAAGCCGAGGGCACAGGAGGTTCCAGCATGGTGTACTTTGTAGTCAACCTAGGTTTTGTAGTTCAGTTTGGGTTGAGGTTTGGGTCTTTGTGCTGGAGGTTGTGAACCTACAGTTGTGCTGCTTTCAGGTTGCTTCTTAGTTAACCGTGCTGGCCCGCCAGCTCTACCTCCAGTAATAGCGTTTATCGTTTCGGGGATGCGTACAAGGAGTTTCGCTGAGTGAAGTAGGGCTCCTCTGGAATCAGCATTGGGCGAGGGTTCCTTGCGGGATATGACTTGGAGGGTCGGGGGACTTGTAGCTAGTTTATAGAGTTATATGTATCATAAACCCAATTAGGATCCTTATTAGGGTACTTATAAGTCCACTTACTACCCACTTACTAAGTCCCCCGACCCTCCAAGTATGCTTCCAGTCTTCAAGCGACTGCAGGTGGTGACGATGCTGGCTTCTTGGCAATCTTATCAAATCTTTAATGTATGGGCCTTAATAATTAAAATAGAGTTTTGGGGTCCATTATACTATATTTATAACAAGGAGCCCCAAAATGATATAGGAAATTATATAGGCTACGATATTACCAGCGAACAGGTTCTAAAATCCTGGCTGTTCAGATATGCTCTTGATTTCCAGCGCGCTGGTCGCGTTGCCTTTGACGAAGATACCACCGCCGGTTTAGCTGCTGATTGTTCATAGTTACTCTTTGTCACACTCCGAGTGATTGCGGATGGTGATGATGATGATGATGATGGTCGTGGTGATGACGCCGCTGCTGCTGCTAACTGACTGACGAGATATGCTTCGTGGTAGTTGTCGCTGCCGGCATCCTCAGTCGTAAAGCCTGAATCGCAATATCCGAGTGGCTTGTCCAAGCTGTCCGAGCCAGTGAGGCACAAGATGCGCCTAGAAATCAGTTCAACTTGATGTAGCCGGTTCCTGCAGCTGAATACAGACCCTTCAGGCCCTGCAACAGTTGAACTTTCTGCTTCTCTCTCGGTCGATGTTCATGGTTTATAGGCTCAGGGGCTTGGAACTAAGTTCGCAAAGCCTGCGAAGAAAGACTGCATCTCAGGCGACACTCATCAAATCTCGGCCGACCAAGAAGGACCGTTACGCCTGCCTAGTTTGAAGCAATCTTGGGTTGTCTGTTGCGTTCATGAAAGTCCAACGGACGTGGAGTAATTGGTCCAGGTTGGAGGAGCCTGTGAAACTTACAAGGTTAGAACATTTGGAAAAGTATCGGGACCTTGATATAGTATAGGGCCTTAATAATTAGAACAGGGTTTTGGGGCCCATTATACTATAACTATAATAAGGAATCACCAAATTAGTATTGGTAATTGTTTAGGCCTCTACAGTAGAAAGTTTTCTCTGAGGACCCCCCCCCGAAAAAGGAACCCCTACTTTGCAGAATTCCTGTGTTCGGCCATGCGTCCATGTAGGGTTTAGGGTTTTGGGGTTTAGGGTTTAGTTTAGGGTTTATAGTGCAAAAGAACCCCTGGACAAAGCACCCGCACCGTGATAGGGTTTACGTCTGGGTGAGTGACTCATTTTGCACATCCTTGATTATTACGTCCTTCGCTCCGGATATTTGCTAAGACGCTGCAAGATCAGAAAAGGCATTTGCCAGTCTCTGATAAACAGTAACATCTGCCTGTAAGGTAAAATTAGGATCCGTGTATGACCAACGGGACAAATCAATCAGGGGTCTACACATCAGCTCATGCTCTGGCTGCGAGGACTCATTCCCCTGACAGACCTGGACGTGCAATCTGAGGTGCTTTCCGATGACGAAGAGATTCATGCAACTGCTGTATAGGGCACAGGTGCTTAAACGAAGCAGCGCCTTGCTAATTATTCCTGGACTCACCGGCAGTGAACAGTATGAAGCTGGACTGGCTCTCACTGCCATCCTGCACATATCTCCAGGGCCGAACCTCCAAACCCCTCAGCCCTAAATCCCTAATCCTAAACCCCTAAATCCTAAGCTCTAAGGTTGAACCCATGGCCCCCTAGTATGGGCCCTTAACCCTGGGATCCTTGTACACCTAC